GGGGTGTCGGGGCTGCGGGGCGTGGCCCGCCGTGCCGGCGGCCATCGGGGCGCTCGCCCCCGACTCCCAGGAATTAAGAGCTGGGCTAGCCCACCGTACCAGGTTGGGGATGCCCCCCCGCAGTTGCCTGGCGTTAAGCCCTGCCCCCCGGCCTTTGTGTGCAGGGGGCGCGCGGTCCTGGCAGGTGTTTTTGCGCAGCGTGCCTGGCGTTCGGGTGGTGCAGGTGCGGCCGGGGGTGCTTTCGTGTGCCCCCGTTAGTAATTCAGGCTGTTGTCGGGAAATTGAGAAGTACTGAAGAGCTTAGTGGGGGAAAAAAATCATTCGCTGAACCCTCCCACTTACAGTTTCTTTCCGCATTTTTACTCTCGCAGGTGCTCATTTTTCCTTGAGCTAGAATTACCTATTTTATCAGAGCATATTTAGTTTTACAGTTAGTTGGTTGGAGTGTCGTCCCCACACGGAAAGGTGGTGGGTTCGATCCCTGGTCAGGGCACATACCCAGGTTGTGGGTTCTATTCCCAGTCGATCGGGGCGCGTATGGGAGGCAGCAGATTCATGTTTCTATCTCACACCCATGTTTCTCTCTCTCTTCCCCCCTCTACCTTCCTCCCTCCAAGGTAAAAAATATATATCCTCCTTAAATATCAGCTCTAATTTTGTATTTTCTTTTGATTGGCTACCTATTCTATCGTTGTGTAGGTCCCATAAATTGCTCAGCCATCCCAACTGTGGGGCACTTAGGGTATTGTGAATTCTTGCTTTATTTTAGCATCCCAGGTGATCCTCTGGTAATCTTTTTTTAAGCTGTATGTAGTATTTTTTACTTGGGCTAGATTCTGAGAAGTGAAGTTATTAGAGTAGGTGGTGAGTTCTAGTAAGGCCTTTTTGAGTCTCCATAAACATTGCCAGTTGTTTAGCAAAATTGTTTTAGTAGTTTACATCATTTATGTAGGACTGTGCCTGTTTCACCAAAAGTGTGATAGCTCATAATACGTTTCTAATACACAAACCAGCCGGATCGAGGCTCTCTTTGGAATTTTTGAAGTTTTTATGGTGGTGTCTGGCAATTCCACTTGCTTGAATTTTGCGAAGGAATCTTCAGAGGTTATGTTAGTGTGTATGTTATTGGAGTTACTTTGTAGGCTGACTGACTGTTAGATCACTTAAGTGATCTTTTAGCATAACTGCCTTATTTTGCAGATGAGGAACCTGAGGCCTTGAGAGGTGAAATGATGAGTTATCCAAGGTTCACAGCTAATTAAGTGGCAGAGCTGCGATTAGAACTCAGGTGTCCTGCCTCCCAAGTGAGTACTCTTGATGCTGCTTAGGGTGGTCTCACTAAACTGTGGCATACTCGATATTAGAATTTAAAAAGATGTTTACATCACTTGGATTAATCTGTCCTCTTAGAATTGTACCAAGTAACAGATATAAATCCTCTGAGGGATCTGTGACACTGAAAAATGGCAGACCATTTTCATGGCGAGGACTAGAAATCCATTATTTAGAAGAGCAACCCCCTCAAGATTTTTTTTTTTTTAATTTTTTACTTTTAAAAAATATGTTTTTATTGATTTCAGAGAGAGGAAGAGAGAGATAGAAATATTGTTGGGCTGCCTCCTGCAGGCTCCCTATCCCGGATCAAGCCCCAAACTCCAGCATGTACCCTTACCCGGAATCGAATGTGCAACCTCCTGGTGCATGGGAAGTGCTCAACAAACTGAGCCACACTGGCGGGCCCCCCTTCAGTTTTTTATTTAGGGCTTATAGCAGAAATTGACATTTGGGGCCAGATCATTTTTTGTTGTGGAGGGCTGTCTTATCCTTTGTAGAAGGGTAAACAGTATCCTTGGCCTTTAGCTACTAGGTACCAGTAGCACCAAGTCCTCATTCAGGACAAACCAAAATGTCTCCAGACATTTCCAAATGTCCCCTGGTGACGGGCTGGGGGGTGGAGGGAGAGGCTAAATCTCTTCTGGTTAAGAATCACTTGCTTATAGGGATCGTTTGGGGAACTTTATGTAAATTCCAGTGCCCCTTGCCTATACAGCCTGACTTTGGGATGGCTTCAGGAATCTGCATTTTAGCAAGCACCTCTGTTGGTTCGGATGCAGCTGCTTCTTGGACAACACAGAAACATTCCTCCATCTTTTATTTGGTGGTCAGTAATAGAGATGTTACTGTGTTACAGCTGCTTAAGTGCATGGATGATACTGTATTAGTCACTGTTCCCATAGTTGAGGAAGGGGGAGGGACAGGGATTTGTCTTAGCACTGCCCTTAAATGCCTCTTCCACAAGCTTGGGCAATGTGCTTAGGTACCAGATTGATCAAATGAACAAGACATTTTGCCTGTCCGCAAGAAGGTTAGAACCTACTCTGGGAGACTGGTCTGCTGGAAAGGAAAGCTCAGACACTGATGTGTTCTGCTAAAGTGCATTTACTGGGGTTGTAATGTTATGTTTCATAGCAGTTTTTTGCTTTTCAGTTTTTTTCACCCTAAACTGTAAATACTCTAAGAGTAGGTGAAAGTTTACAGGTAAACATGGCCAAGAAACAAGAATTTGCATGTTTTCTGCTCAGTGATGTAACTCAGAGTCATGTTAGATATATGTTTTCTGACCATTATAGTTCTTGGCAGGGTGATTTACAGTGATTTAGGATTTTTTCCCCTAGTGCTGCTACCCTCCAACTAGATCTCTCACTATGTCTGGCCATCCCCAGCTTTAACAGAAGAACCTCGACATACTCCAAAGGGCATCTGCACCTTTGCAAGGGCTTGGGCTTCATGATCAGGCCTTGGTTCTGCTTTCCACCTTGCCTGGTGACACTATGAATTGCTCATGACTCTGATGCCTGGCACATAGCTGGAGGAATGAAATTTAGTTCCTTCCCCTCCTTGTTTTTACTAAAGAAAATCTATGCAAAGCAGTTTGCAGATGTTCTCATCCTAGCCCTCTCAGAAGCTTCTGGCAGAAAATATACTGCCTTTGACTAAATAGCCATGTCTGGAAATAGGTAATTTAGTTAGAACAAGCCTGAGTTGGAATCAGGAGGGAGAGGAGGCGTAGAGGGCGATTGTGGCTCTAATTTTGAAGGGCAGACTTTTATCAAGTGACCCTGCAGAAGGGAGACCTTTTTCCTCTTAAATGTCTGTGGTTCAAGAGGCTGTCCTCATGACATGGTCAGACATGGCTGCTTCAGACATGGTCAGAACTGTTCTTCTGCCTTACCCATTTTAAAAAATGAAAACTTAAAGTTTCGTGAACCAAGTGATGGGAAAAATTGTGATGCTGAGACCAATTTACTCATACAAAATGGATTTATGCACAAGTCATTAAGTAACAGGTGAGTACCAAGGAAGCCTAATGAAGATGAATGTAAAAGATACGGTCTCTAAAGTGACGGATAAAATGTTTGAAGCAACAGCCTCTTTCCAAATAACTCTTAGAATATTTCTTTCAAGAGATTTAGCCTTGAAGAAGGTGGTGTTAGTCTCTCCTTTCCTCTGGCTACAGGCTATTGAGGGAGAAAAGTCTTGTATAAAAAAAGTAAAGAATATAAGCCAGTACTTGGTGACAGGTCACATCAAATACACCCAAATGGGAAACCTGATGCCAGAGCAGAGTGAGATGGCGCATCTCCACTCTATCCGAAGTGGACAGCGGTACCCATGCAGGTCTCTGCTTCAAACCCTCCCACTGACACAGCATTGGTCATACTTGCCAATTCATAGGAGTCTCTTAGGCTTGTGCAAACAGATTCCTGGGTCCTACTCTAGATCTACTGAATCTGAATGTCCAAGTGATCCCAATGGCTCATGTTTGGGAATCGACCCTAGAGGCTCAAGCCCAAGCTCACTTAGCCTAACTTGCCATGCTTCCCAGGAATGTGGCCCTGCTCCCTTCTGCGGCTGCAGCTGTGTAGAGTTCTCACACTGTCCAATGCCTTTGCTAAGCTTTCTCTCCGTTCAGCTGGTGGACCCCTTTTCCTTCACACTCAGCTCAGGCGGCACCTCCAGAAATCCTTTGATCTGCCAAACCTGGGCGAAGTGAGTCTTCTCTGTGTGCTGTTCTCTGCAAAGTTCTCTCCAAGTACATACACCTTTTTGTTTTGTTTGCCTGCTTTGGAGTATAAATTCTGAGGGACCAAGGCCATGTCTTGGTGTTATATCCGCACCCAGCCTGTGTGCCTGACACTTAGGTGCTGATGGAAGTTTGAAGTGTTGAATGCCTTCAGAAAGAAATTGATGTTAATTGGAGTAAAGGTGAGGCTTAATGGCAGAGGCATGATCATTGATGAGCTTTGAAGAATATATCTGTACTTTTCAAAAAGATGACGAAAGATGATAAGGTTTAAAAAAAACTGACACCATCAGATAAACAAATAGTCTAGGATGAACAAAATGAACTAACACTGAGAGAGAGCAGCCTGGCAGCTGTTGGTGGGGTGGGTTTGGAGGGGTGCTTGGAGGGATGGATAGAGCAAAGAAGGGAAAAAAAAAGAAAAAACTCGACACAGACAACAGTGTGGTGTTTGGGGGGAGGTGAGGGAAGGTATGGGGGATAAATGGTGATGGAGAAAGACTTGACTCAGGGTGGTGAGACAATACAGTACAGATGATGTGTTGTGGAATTGTGTACCTGAAACCTGTATAATTTTGTTAACCAGTGTCACCCCAATAAATTCAGTAAAAAGGAAGAAAATGCAAAAAGTAAAAATAAAAACAAACACCATCAGTTAAACAACTAAGAGTCTAGGTTTGTATTCTTTATGTCATTAACTTGTCAAGGTAGTTAATAATAGCCCTGTGAACTAGATTTTCAAATCGTGATGCATCTTAGTGGGGGTTTTTTGTTTGTTTGTTTTTGAATATGTATTGATTCAGAGAGAGGAAGGGAGAAAGGGAGATAGAAACATCAATGATGAGAGTCATTGATTGGCTGCCTCCTGCACGCCCCCCCCCC